CAAGCAGGTTGTTTCTGTTCAAAGACTTTCTGTTCAGTATTTTGCACTGTATTTATTGCTATTGCAATTTCATAGCCCTCGTTTCGACTAAAGATGAATATTCCCTGGATACGATATTAGCTGGCACAGACTGCAGCGAACGGCAGCTGATTCCAGCATCAGATGTCAATTCAGCACGGGTTTCGACGGCTTTGTTGCTCCGAACGCGTCTCGTGACAGCGCGGTTGCCATAAAAGCGCCGATTGGCCAACGTCTTGCAGCATCTTACGTAGCTTTACCTCACCACTATCCGTTCTTGTCCGGCCCTTGCGGTACTCTAGATATGCGAATTCCACGGTACGCGTTCGTAACAAATACGTGTTGACTCAATCACGCAGTGATGTGCATCGCAGTGGATGTACATGCAAAGGGCGCGTGGTTCGTGCTCTACAGGTGTCGGCATGGCCTTGGCAGGTGTTCCTGGTGGACTCGCTTGCTGCGCTTCCCCAGACCGTGGCTAGCCGCTACCCGAATGGGTAGGCATGATGCACGTTGGCGGCTGAGGGATCCACCTGCACGCCTTAGACTGACTACATATGTAGGGCGTGCGATAACCGCGATAGCTGATAGCTAATTCTATTGAAGTGAGGTTTAAAGGCTTGGACCATCGATCCTTCAAACTCTCTTCAATCAACTCATCCACAGACTTGTCATCAAAGAAGAATTTGGAGACAAAGTGCAAAGAGGTTACGAGATTGAATCGTAGACCAAGATGTCACCACCTTCAGCAGTCGAAGTCTCCGCGGTTTCGGATACGTCTGGAGTTACTATCCCAAACCCGTTGAGCGCGCCGGTTCTGAGCAACGAGATTCTTGGAAGAAGAAAGAAGACAACTGCGGCTCAATGGGGTGTGGCAGCGCCATCGGACACGGCAAACTTCAGACTCAAGTCTCACGACCACAAACCCAAAGCCAAGCGATGGAGTCGTAAGCTCATACCGTTTTCAATCAGCATTTTCTCGACATGGACTACATGGCTAACCTATACGAATAGATATCATGACCAAGGAAGCCACAATCCGGAAAGGCAACTCTCTCAAAGAAGCAGCAAAATATCTTGGTACACCCGGCATAATATCTCTCGGCGGCGGTTTACCATCTAGCGAGTACTTTCCCTTTGAAGAATTGTCAATCAAGGTCCCCACGATTGGTCACTTCTCGGAAGCTGAGACTCGGGAGTCTGGTGTGACTATCACCGCGGGCAAACATGACCTCGCGGAGAACAAGTCTAACTTCGACATTGCTACTGCATTCAACTATGGCCAGGGATCTGGTTCAGCACAACTACTCCGCTTCATGACCGAGCACACTGAACTGATCCATGATCCGCCATACCAAGACTGGAAATGCACCATGACTATCGGAAGCACATCCGCCACCGACATGTGTCTGAGGATGTTCACCCGGCCAGGCGATATGATCCTATCCGAAGAATACACCTTCTCCGCCTTTGTTGAGACCGCCCGACCAATGGGCGTGCGCGTCTGTGGCGTCCCCATCGACAACGAAGGTCTCCTACCCGACGAGATGGACTCTCTGCTCACAAACTGGGACCAAGCAGCCCGTGGCGCACGAAAACCCCATATCCTCTATACCGTCCCAACAGGTCAGAACCCGACAGGAGCAACGCAGAGCGCAGAGCGCCGGCACGCCCTCTACAAAGTCTGCCAAAAGCACGACATCCACATCCTAGAAGACGAACCCTACTACTTCCTCCAAATGCAACCCTACACCGGCGCCAACGCGCCTTCCATCCCGCCACCAGCATCCCACGCCGACTTCATCAAATCTCTCGTGCCCAGCTACCTCTCCATCGACACAGACGGACGCGTAATCCGCTTCGATTCCTTCTCCAAAGTAATCGCGCCCGGATCACGAATCGGCTGGATCACCGCGCCCGCCGAAGTCGTAGAACGGTATTCCAAACATGCAGATGTGTCGACTCAGAACCCCGCTGGCATGTCCCAACTCATCTTATTTAAACTACTAGATGAACACTGGGGCCATGCGGGCTACCTCGACTGGCTCATTCACATGCGCATGCAATACACACACCGCCGCGATATCATCCTTTCAGCATGTACGAAGTACCTCCCTACTGAAGTCATGAGCTGGAAACCGCCTATGGCGGGTATGTTCCACTGGATGCAGGTCGACTTTCGGAAACATCCTAGTTACCCTGAGAAGAGTATTGAGAGTATCGAAGAGAGTATCTTTATGCGCGTCATTGAACATGGGGCGCTGGTTATGAGGGGTAGTTGGTTCTATGCGGATGCGGAGGAAGAGCACGATACGCTATTCTTTAGGGCGACGTATGCGGCGGCGCCGGGGGAGAAGATCGAGGAGGGGATTAGGAGGCTGGGGGAGGCGGTTAGGGAGGAATTTGGGTTGGGGGATTATGCTAAGGATAAATGAGAGGTGGAGTGGGTGGTGAAATAGATTGAGTGTTGGAATGATCGCTTGTGGTCTTGCTCTTGTATTGATGGGGCAGTCGTTTTGTGATATAGCGGGACATTCCTTGCTGTATATATCCTACCACCAAATGCAGAGCTATCCATGCCCCATCTGGTCCCTCTTATTCTTACACATGTCCAGTTCCTAGACCTCTCTTTTGTAGTATTGTCAACCTATCGCACGGATGTCACTCCGCCTGGTATCCTCCTCTGTCGTATTCCTTTCCCCTGGTTTGTTCTTCGACGCCGCAAATCTCCCGCTCAGTTGATGAAGTTGACGCAAAAGAAGTGCAGCAATAAACTGCCAAAGATGAAATCCGCAAACGCCCGCTCATGCGAGATATTCTCAAAGTGCACCTTGTTCTCCGAGTTTGTCTGGATGCGCAGCGAGGCTGTGAGGACGAATTGGCCGACTGTTGCGCTGAAGCCGGAGAGGAAGGCGTTGAAAGGCTGTGTTTCCATGCACGTTAGCGAGCAATTCGTGTATCATTTCTTCCAATCTCCTCGTACTCCGGATGTAGGAACTGTGGAAATTGGACATGTGATGGGAGAATTGAGGACGTACAAAGTTTCCAACCAAGACGACGTAGAGGAATTGCAGAGCACCGACGATAACGAGGAAGGCGAGGAAGGTATCGAGCAGCTTGGTTCGCTGGGGTGTCTTGTCGACGTATTTGTTCCATATTCCTTGCGCAATGGCGGCGGCGTCTGTGTTGTTTGCTTTGCTTGAGCGAGCAGGTGCTGATGGGGTAGCTGTTGTAGATGTGGTCGTAGCTGGGGCGCCGGTTGGGGCGGTGGTGCGCTGTTTCGGTGCCATTTTCGTGACGTCTCGAGGATGTGTGTCGAGACTTTTGGTGTTGGAAGTGGAATTGGAAGATGACGCGCTATGGTGATGCTGCTGCTGCTGCTGCTGCTGGTGGATAGCTTGAGGCCAGATGTTCGTACATGGTCCGAGCTCTGGGGTACGACGACCGACCGCGTCGGCGGTTCGGTGTCCTTCGGGTGTCCGTTTGGATCCCCGCAAATCATGGCATGGACTTGGCCCAGCCTTCCTTCTCTCTCAGCATTCTACGAGAAACTTCTACATCCTCAGTTCTTTCTTCCAGACCTCACGTATTCACGCGACTGCCCGAACTTCATCTCACGAATCACACGATAAGATAACAGAACACGACGCGATAATGGTACGTGATCACCATCTGCTGCCATGCGCGAGTCATGGTGTAGAATGGATGCTAATTGGAGGTTCAGGGCTCTCTCGGAAACATCGCTCTCATCCTGGGTGCTCTTACTGCTGGTGGCGGTATCACCGGCTATGTGAGAACCGGATCTATCCCATCGGTCGTCGCTGGATGCACTGTCGGACTTCTGGTATGACCTCACATCACATGCATCACCACCTTGCGCGCATCTAACAAACAATAGTACATGCTCGGTGGCTACCGTGTCAACAGCCGCGCAGCGTACGGTGTTGAGTTGGCTCTTCTTGCTTCCGTTATCCTCGCTGGCAGCTCTATTCCTCGAGCAATGAAGTCTGGCAAGCCGCTGCCTATCGGGTTGAGCATTCTCGCGACCTTTGGCCTGTGGACTTTTGGAAACGCGTACATGAACAAGGCTCGTGTATAAGCACTACCAGAAAGATGATACGAAAAGCAGGCAGCGCGTCGTCCGATGAAAAGTGTACCATAACTTACGATGTTGAAATACGAAGCTTGACTGGATGAGAAAGCGGATCCTACTACGCGAATACTCCCTCTCGAGTTACCAATCGATGTGTCGATCCACAAGCTTGATGCTAAGTCAGGGTAGCTGATTATCTCAACGTCCAGATATCTCAACGTTCTAACAGGCTCCCCACACGTTTGAGTTCGCTAATGATCCCGGGCTATTTGGAAGAATGCAACACCATCCACACAATACCGACGAGGCAACAATAGAAGCTCCCCACCAATCTATATCCCCGCTCTGCGTCGCGTCTCAACTGCCGTCGCTTATCCAGGGTCTTGCAAGTCTTAGCGTCATTCAGTAACACTGCATGAGCGAGTACTGGATATCGCGAGTATTGTTCCGGGTCACAATGCGGTTCCAGTTCATCAAAATTGATAGATCCAAGTTTCATTGACCAATCGTACCATGTCAACACCTGATTCTGACTATCAACCTGCCATTTCCATCAGTGTACTCAGGCTGAAACCTATCCGCGAGGCAGAAGCTACAAAGCGATCATCCTGGTGTACGCAGTCCGTCACATATCGTAATCCCGAGTACAGTGATTGGTGGTTCGATATGACCTCCCAAAGCCTTTCTCCAACATTTTCATCTAAGACATACCAGAGGAATGAAAGCAAATTACAGATTGACGAGATCGAATCATGTCCCCGCATGGCTCGTGGCTCGCTCTGTGGCCACGATAAATGTTGGAGTTGGCCGCATAAAGAGTTGGGAAAGGCCTACTGGGTGACAGTCAAGAACGTATAGCTACGCCCGTCTATCCACAGATCCCGCCACTATGCGCTACACCCAGCTTATTGGCAGTGCTGCGGCACTTGCTGGTTATGGTGAGTTCAATGTCCGCCTTAGCCGTTGATACTGACAGAACGAAGCTTTTGCTCAAGAAGGTGAGGCACAGTCTACTGTTGTCTACGATGCAGAAACGAAGATCAGTTACTCGTCGTACACGGAGCCTGAAACAGGGATGACGTTTGGTGTTGCTCTTCCGAAGAACGTTACAGACCCGTACGATGCCATCGTCAGGATCACGGCTCCAATTGCCAATCAATGGGTCGGCTTCTCGTGGGGTGGCAATATGGTCTGGAATCCATTGAGCGTTGCTTGGCCTAACGGTCAATCCGGGACGATATCTGCTCGCTTCGCTTTGTATGATGCCTACCCAGGTTGACGATGACGATTCTAACATCCCACAGTGGTATTGCTTTACCGCTTGGATACGATGGCGCCGAGCACAGCTACCTCAAAGGCACAAAGACAAACGCTACACATTGGACTGTCAATGCACTGTGCAAAGGCTGCACTGGATGGCAAAACAACGAAGATGAAAGATACGCATTGAATGGCACCGGTACAACACAATTTGCCTGGGCCTACGGCGTCTCTTCGGTTGAGGACCCTGCCAGAAATGATTCTGCATTCAACGTCCACGCGGCCTGGGGAAAATGGATCCACAATCTGGACGCTGCACGCATCGAGAATTTTGATTCCTTGGTCAATGCTAACCTGCTGACGGCACCCATAGCAAGTCCTTCCGCTGACCCGACCACCGTCGTAACAAGCGTCGTACCGTCTGCAACGTCAAAGCCAGCCGCGCCTGCTGCCATTCCAGCCTCGTGCTCCGGTGCCGGTAATCCCACATTCCAGGGAAGTCTTGCTTCCGGATGGAAGGCCACAAAAGTCGCCGGAGGCTTGACTGCCCCTCGTAGCATCCAATTCGACGGGGCAGGCAACATGCTGGTAGTCCAGTCTGGCAAAGGTATCTCGTACCATAAGATGGGTACGGATGGATGTGTTACCTCTACCAAGATGCTGGTCTCGCAGAACAACCTGAACCACGGCATTGCGATGAGTCCTGACGGAAAGACGCTCTACGCCAGTTCCATGACTCAGGCTTACTCCTGGCCGTATGATGCTGCTGCTGGGACACTGGGAACTCGAACAACGATCATTACTGGCATGTATAACGGCGGCTCTCATTTGACCCGCACTCTTGCCCTCGCACCGCAGAACCCAAATCTGCTGGTTGTCTCCCATGGCTCCAATGCCAACATTGACGCTGCTACGTCGGATCCCAAGACTGCGCGTGCCATCATCAAGGTCTTCGATCTGTCAAAGATTCCAAGCGGAGGCTACAACTACGTCTCTGGCGGATACAACGCTGGTTACGGGCAGCGTAACGACGTAGGAATCTGCTTCGACAAGAACAACATGTAAGCCTCACTTGTATGAGCACGCGTGACGATACTAACAACGCTACAGGCTGTGGGGCGTAGAGAACAGCGGTGACGACTTCAAGCGCAACGGAAAAGACATCCACTTCAACAACCCCGGCGAGAAGATCCATTACATGGGCGACGTGACCAAGCCCAACAACAACTGGTACGGCTACCCGTCCTGTTTCACCGTCTGGCAGCCCAGCGACTTCACCGACAAGGCCTTCAAAGTAGGCGATTGGTTTGTCCAACAGCCCAGCACCAACATGAACGACGATACCTGTGTCCAGACAGCCACAGCTCCCAAGCTTACGCTGTTTCCTCACTCCGCACCCATCGACTGCAAATTTGACGCCGACAGCACAACCATGTATGTGACCTACCACGGTAGCTGGAACCGCACACCCGTCACCGGCTTCAAGCTCGTCGCTGTGAAGTTCAAGATTGGTGCGGACGGCAACTACACTCCGGTTGAGCCTCTTACTAGTACCACAGCGGCCCAGGACATCTTTTACAACCCGGCTGTAGAGAAGTGCCAGGGTAATGGACCGAGTTTCAGCTCTGGGTGCTTTAGGCCTGCGGGCTTGGCGTGGGATTCGCAGGGGAGATTGTTCATGACGAGTGATACATCGAGCAATGGGGAGATTTGGGTGCTGGGTAAGTCGTAGAGGATGGGGTGGCACTCCCAAAGCGTCATGCTAGAGAGTCGATGAGGAGCAGACGATATGTATATACAGTTGGTGCAGTCACACAGTCGTTTCTAGGTCGCCATTTTCAGGCAATGGGAGGTAACGGTTTACTCGCTCCTTGCGACCAAGGTGCAAAGTTCTGGATTTGCTTCAATTCCGTCGTCCTTCAACACATCGTCAGCATCCCAATAACCCGAAATACGCGAACCATAGGTATACATCGACTCACCCAAAGTATGAATCGCAAGCGGACGCATTGGGGTAACTACCAGCTCGTTGTTTTGGGTGTCGCGCAACCATGGTTCGCGTACCGGGCACGTGGCAGGTTTTTATATCGGGAAGCGGCGTTGTATAAAGCACAGCAATATTTAACTTCTTTGCCTACACCTACAGTCCTTAGCTCGACTCACTAAATTTGACAACTGTTATACACCACCGCTACCCTTAAGACACTCGCAGCTTCCGACACCCACACACAGCCTCCAGCCATGTCCGACACCAACACCCATGCACTATGCTACTTCATGGAGCTTCCGACTGAGTTGCGCCTCAAGATTTACCGCTACGTTCTTCCTGAGGTCGTTGAACCCAACTATCAATCCCAAGTTCGTGCCGCTTCTATTCTACGAGTTAATCATAAGGTCAATCAAGAGGCTTCTTCTGTGTTGTATGGAGAGACTCAATTTCATGCGTACATATCGCAAGATACCATCCAGCTACAAAATAAGTTATGGTGGCGGCGTACGGAGTCCAGAAGCCTCTCTATGATATTTTCACCGTCAGCCAGATCCATCCGCCATCTTACCGTCCACGTCAATCTTCGGAGATGGTCCGATGCTCATTCTGATCTGTATGGAAGGGGCATCAGTGGTGATGAATACGAAGCCTATAAGGCGAGGGATAGCGTGCGGAAATTTATCAACTTCTTTACATCAGGAAATACTTCGCTGAAGTGGCTGGAAGTTAGGCCCACTCTGGTAAACTACTGCAGATGGTCTGAGGAAGACATTATCGCGGAGGTCTTTGTGGTTATAGGACCTTTCGAAGCGCTGAGCAACATCAAAACAGCAACATTGGTGGCCCTAAATTACACAAATTGCGGTAGACTTGGTACCGAGCGTCACTCAGCCATCGCTAGCCTCCATACCAATCAGCTTTACGGTCGACTTCGAGAGGAGTGGCTCTCTTCCATCACAGAGTCCAAGCCAGCCCCGGGACCCACGGACAACGAGCAGGGAAAGGTTGCGTACGGCGTTATCGAAGAAGTTCTTCAACTGATATATCGGGCAATGCCATATGCGGTGCGAGGTACTTACAGTTCGATCCATCGCCGCTTGGATGGCCTCGAGCTCCCGTTTCACTCCGCCCGCGTTGCCTACGAAAACGGCGATGTCGAGACTTTGGTAGCAATCAGAGAAGCCATCAGGGGGGAATGGGTCAAATTACAACCCCGGCTGTCGTGCGAAGCATCTGCCATCTCGCAGTCAATCTACGACATGTTCAAGACTAAGGATATCGCAGAACTGTCCGAGTCAAATCCACGCGTTGTGCCAGCAGAGACTAAGACGTCAAGTCCCGTTTCTACGATGAATGAGCTAATGGACTGGGACTGGTCGGAAGTTAAATGCGGGGTCCCCAAGCACGGTGAACCTGGCGTTACCATTAAGGAGGATAGTTGGAGGATCTACATCTACAAGGGCGATAAAATGTGGACGCGTCTGAAGACACCGCAGGCGGTACGCGAAGCAAAGGAACGAGGCAGAAGCGATGACATACTTTGAAAGCACTTCAGATCGTTTACGTTGATAGCAAAGAGGCATTACCGTGGATGTAAGCAGCTCGCTTATGATTGGCGGTTATGACACGCGACGCAATACCACTTGTAGAATCATCTCGCATCAGATGAGAGATGGACGATTGGGAAAGGAGTTGACGAGAAGCGAGAGAAAGAGAGGACACCGGACAGATACAGAGAGGGTTGCATGCTTAGTGACCATCCTATACATCAGGGGAAGAGTGGCGTTGTGGAGATTGCGGTATCTCTAGGTGGAGTGTTCACTGAGTAGAGTGACAAGCAAACAGGAGCAATGACAGCATAGCAGCAAGTCAGATGCGGGACGAAATCTCGTTTGTGGGGCACGAGATCCTGTTGTTAGACGACTTGCCGCTCCAAAGCGGTCTAACAGTGTAGCTAAGACAAGCCATCGTAATTCCAGCCGCAATGTAGCACACGGGTCTAAGGTCAAGCCCACTTTCCCTGAATGCCCATGTGCCGACAAAAATCTTGGTGGGGGGAAGAAAGGCGGTTATCGGCAGGCGTCTTGAGTGATTTGCATGGTGAAATACGATCTTGAGCGGCGCAGCGTGCCTGGCGAGAACTGGTTTGCGGCACGACGATCGTCGATGTTATCGGTTATTTTTGGGCTTCATCTCGCTTTCGCAACTGCTGGCCATGCCTTGTGACGCAGCGGCAGAGCAGCAGGTTTTGAGGGAGATTTGGAGTTGCAGAGAGATGAGGGTCGCGACTGGTTGTTGGTAGTTGGCTGTGCCTTGTTCATGCGCATCCGGCAGAATGCCATGGCTTTCGCCAAAGTCGATGATTCCCATGTGCGCTCGGAGAGACTAGGCTCGGTTTCACCCGGCACGCCGCAACGAAATACGAGTAAGCATACGCCAAGCCGTCTCTCGCGACTAATCCTTCACATGCGGCGGTCGTCAGTTGCGAGCGCCGAAGCTTGTTGGGAGGTGACTGATGGCTCTGCATGGCCCAATGGCTTACTGTCGATGCTGACATAGGCGAGCCGTGGCTGAAGTGGACTGCAGGCCGGGTTGAAGATCTTGGCTCGAAAAGCTTCGCATGTCATTGCCTGTACTAGCACCGGGTCTGCTGGAACGAGACAGGCGCAGACAGCAGCTTTACCGATTGGGACAGAGGGGCGGCATGTGTCAGCGAAGACAAAGGGTTGTGCATGCGGGCCGTTCTGTCAGAATAGCAGAGTTTTGATATCAATATCTTCACGTCGAAGAGGCATCTTGTGATAGTAGTCGCGGCGCGGTGGTGATGGAGGGGTCCGTCCATTATTATCACGCCCGCCCTTCCGCTCCTAATCTGCCCTACTCCGTCCGGCACCCGCGGATTCTCTCGTACGGCCAGGCACGATCTAGAGCGAAGGACTCCCCTAGCATCTACGTCACGCTTGCGCACGGTCGGTGTTGTGCACAAGCTCGGCGCTAGGAAGGGCTTGTCAGTGAAACGCAGCCATCTTGTACCGAAAACTGGGGGGTCACGTCATAGCCCATTCACCCTCGCATCGGCATACACGCCAGGCGCCCTTGCCAGCCACAGTATACTAAACCTCGCGTCTCCCGGCCTTGCTAGCATATCCATAGCAATTCTTTTTCCCTCGCCCAGGAACACCTTCCATCCCCCCTCAGCAGCAGAACTCCCCTGCGTCTGCTTGCCCCCACTTGCGCTCAGGTAGTCTAACCACGCACACACGGGCAACGCTCTCGCACCACCCCGCCATGAGTTCCCTCAAGAGAGCGCTTGACAAGCTCAAGCCGCACCACGGGTCCTCGGCCTCGGACGACGAGAAGAGCGGCGTCAAGTCGCCCTCGTCCGTCAATGGCCGCGCCCAGTCGCCCGTCGCGTCGCCGCGCTCTTCCGTCACCCTGGGCGGCTCTCGAGCAAGCGGCGAGCATAAGCGCGCAGACGTCGCCTCGCCCACCGACAGCCGGACCAGCATCGACCAGCCCCGCAACTCCCTCAGCGGCATCCTCCACCGCCGCACCGAGAGCCCGAGCCGCACCGGCACTGACAAGACCAACAAGACCAACCGCTCCGGATCTATCTCGCACAGCCCCATGCGAGCTGTCAAGGAGAAGCTGCACATTGGCAACGACTCGAGCGACGAAGATGCCCCCCTCAACCGCGAGGGCGAGCCCATGTCCCGCGGCCAGCTGCGCAAGCACGAGAAGCAGGCCCAGCAGGAGGAGCGCCACAAGCAGAACATGGAGAAGGAGCAAGAGCTCGAGCGCAGAAGGAAGGAGATGGAAGACCAGGCATTGGCTGAGCTGACTCCCGAGCAGCGCTCCAAGTACGGTGTCATCGACCCCAACTCCTACGCTGGCGAGTGGAAGCATGAGCCCCGCCACAGGATTCAGGACTTCTCCGCAAAGGATGTCGGCAAGGAGGTCGTCTTCCGCGCCCGCATCCACCACCTCAGGAAGATGAGCTCCAAGTTCGTCTTCCTGATGTTCCGCCAGCAGCTCGCTACCATCCAGGGTGTGCTCTTGGAGCACGCGGATATCTCCAAGTACATGTTGTACTGGGCTGAGCACCTGGACGCCGAGACCATCGTCCTGGTCAAGGGTATCCTTCAGGAGCCCAAGGCCAAGCAGGGCGAGGTCCTTGGAGCAACCATCCACGACGTCGAGGTTTCGGTACACGCCCTCCACGTCGAGGCCGCCGTCACCGACCACCTCCCCTTCAACGTCAACGAAGCCGAGGTCTCACAGGCTGAGGTCGACGCTGAGCTTGCGAATGCAGACCACAAAGAGGGACACACTCGCGTCAAGATTGCGGATCGTACACGCTTGAACAACCGCGTTATCGATCTGAGGACAACAGCTTCACAGGGTATCTTCCGTATCCAGTCTGGTATCTGCAGGCTCTTCCGTAACCAGCTAGATTCGGAAGGCTTCATCGAAATCCACACCCCGAAGCTTCAGGGTGGTGCTACCGAGTCGGGTGCCAGTGTGTTCAAGATCGACTACTTTGGCCGTGGCGCCTTCCTTGCTCAGAGTCCCCAATTGGCCAAACAGATGGCCATCTCTGCAGACTTTGGCAAAGTGTACGAAATCGGTGCCGTCTTCCGTGCTGAGAACAGTAACACGTACCGTCATTTGACTGAGTACACTGGTCTGGATCTGGAGATGCAGATCGACGAGCACTACCACGAGGTCCTCCGCGTGCTGGACCGCACTTTCAAGGCCATTTTCAAGGGTATCTACGACCAATACCGTCCCGAGATTGAGGTCATCAAGAAGCACTTCCCTCACGAGGACTTGGTCTGGCTGGACCAGACACCCATCATTCCCTTCGCCGACGGTGTTCGCATGCTGAACGAGTCCGGCTGGAGGGACGATGATGGCAATGAGCTTGACGTGAACGAAGACCTGGGTACTAGGGATGAGGTTCAGCTCGGTCGTGTCATCAAGCAGAAGCTTGGAACCGACTACTACATTCTAGACAAGTTCCCCGCAAACGCGCGCCCATTCTACGCCATGAACGACCCGAACGACCCCACCGTCACCAACTCCTTCGATATCTTCTGCAGAGGACAGGAGATTCTCAGTGGTGGCCAGCGTATCCACGACTCTACCTTGCTGCTGGACAAGATGCGCAAGCTCAAGGTCGATCCCGGTTCGATGGAAGACTACATCCAGGGCTTCCAATGGGGAGCACCGCCCCACGGTGGTGGTGGTATCGGTCTCGAGCGTATTCTCATGTTGATGATGAACCTCGGAAACATTCGCCATGCGTCCATGTTCCCTCGCGACCCGAAGAGTTTGCCAGAGCGGCCAGTTATCAAGCAGTTGCGTCATCCTGAGGCCAGCACCATGCATCCACCATGGGAAGGACAGGATCGTGCGGTTGCCAAGATCGACCTCCAGCCTATCGAGAAGCTCATCGCCAACTACGGTGATGCCACCAACACCTCCTGGTTGGAGCCTCGCACCGAGATCTGGCGCGACGAGAACACCGGTGCGGCTGTCGGCTTCGTACCTCAGGACGGGTTCGCCATCACTGTCGGTGATCCTCTTTGCCACGAGTCTCAATACCTCAAGACCATGGCTGGTTACCTCAAGTACATCAAGAAGGAGCGCAACCTCAAGCCACTGTGGCTTCTTGTAGGACACGCCACCGAGGAGGTGCTTGCAACCAAGTTCAACTGGCGTACATTCTCCGTCACTGGAGAGCAGCGTGTAGACCCTGTCCACAACCCAGCGGACAAGGACTCTGACGTGCAGCGCAAGATCCGCCACGCGGAGAAGGAGGGTGTCAAGATTAGCGATTATGCCCTCGGTACACCACCACCACCAGATGTCAAGGCCAAGGTCGATGCTCGCGTAGCGGATTGGCTGAACAACCGCAAGGGCAAGCAGGTCCATCTGACCAACATCCACCCATGGCAAGATGAGGAGCACCGCCAATACCACATCGCCTACACACCGGACGGCACCATTGCTGCATTTGTCGCCATGGCGCAGCTCTCACCCGACCACGGCTGGCAAGTCAAGTACTCGCTCGACTTCCCCGGCGCACCCGGTGGTTCGATTGAGTACATTGTCACACATGCTCTCAAGCAAGTCGCCGCTAGTGGCGCGACCAGCGTCACCTTTGGTGGTGGTGCTAGCTCCAAGTTCAGCCCCGGACACAACGTCAAGGGCACTCGCGTCAAGGTGCTCAGCCGCGCCTACCACGCCATTGCGACCGAACTCAAGCTCACCAACAAGACTGAGTTCCGTGAGAAGCTGGGTGCAGTCGACGACCCAAGCTACATTTGCTACCCGCCCCACGGGCTGGGCCCTATGGCGGTCAAGGCTATCTTGAACTTCTTCTCTGACGATGATGACAACAACTAAGTAACATGTTGGTGGACGATATACACGCTAGGATAACGATACATTGATGGATGACCGAAGGCATGATACCACAAGGCGTTTGCTTTATGAGTAGACGGTACCTTTTACCTGTCTGACTCTTTTAGGGACATTT